TCTCTCTCTCTCTCTCTCTCTCTCTCTCTCTCTCTCTCTCTCTCTCTCTCTCTCTCCCTCTCTCTCTCTCTCTCTCTCCACCAGCATGTGTTTTTCTGTCCTCCCCCCGAATGAAATGCAAAGGTGTAATAAAGGTGTTTTCTTCAATGTCGTTCGTTTATGGAATGCTATTGTTCATATCGTGAATACCCTCACACAGTCGTCGATGGAGATGTCGTGCTTGTGTTCATTGCAAATTGTTGTCTAAATGTGGATATCCAATCATTACAGGTGGAGATTTCGAAATGTGTTGTTTCCTGTTATCTTATTTCATGTCGTTGTCGATCCCTAGGTGGGGTGGCGGTTGTCGGAGGTCCAGGTGGAGGGAGGGGGGGGGGGGGGGGGGGTCGTTGACACCTCTCCTGCCAAACCAAACCCCTCCCCCCACCCTCCCCCCCCCTCTCTCCTCAATATGTACGCTATGGTTGTTTGGGGGGGTTGGGTGGGGGTGGGGGGGGTGTGGAGGCGGGGTGCTTTGGGGGTGGTAGGTGAGTTTCATGCTTGGGTACTTTCGTGATGCGCGCGTTTTTTCGGCAGGGGACGTGGATGGCGACTGTTATGCGGGTTGCCTTTCGGGGTGGGGGGTCCTTCGCCGTCAAAATTGACGAAGGGTGGCGAGAAGATGGGTGGCGGGGTCACTGGCCAGTGCCAGTCTACCCCGTGACCTTTGGCCTTTCGTGATGCTGATCATTGATGAGCCCCACGACACCATCGTTTTGACGGGAGGGCGATGGAGTTGTCGTTTAACAGTCCTGGGTACTGCTCATCTGTCATCGTCCACCAAGCACGAGTGTGTGTTTATAAGGATGCCGCCGTCCTTGCCAAATGCACGATTGGGCTCTAAACGCGCGCATCACGGTACACACACCAGCATTCTCGATGTGTCGCCTTCACCTGCTCCTGCCTCCTCCGCCCGCTTGTTCTTCTCCACGGCACAAAGGTAGTCGCACTCTGCACTCCGCCTTCGTGGACGATCCGCACATTCCGGTGGGTTCGCTGTGACGTGCGCGCGCTACGAAGGCCACTCGATGCCACTTTATGTGCCCGTGTTCGACGTCGTCATCGTCTTCCTCGCCGCCTTCATCGCCTTTCTCACCATCCTCGCTTTCGTCGCCACCATCGCCGTGATCGTGGCCGTCGCCTTGCTAAGTGCACGGGGCCATCCACCATCGTCGTCACCACATCCGTCGTGGGACATCTGAACGTCATCGTCGCGTTGTTCCACCGTGGAGTGCGCAGCTCAGATTCATCATTGTCAACGCCATCGTTGCCATCATCTCCACGTTCGCTGTTTTTCCCGCCGTCTCCGTCATCGTGTTCGTCGCCGTTACGGGTCGTCGTTGACAACGTCTTCTAGCCCCTCGACGATAGCGACGACATCATCGCCATACCCACCATCGCAGTCGAGACGACGATCCGAATCTGACGACACGTTTCTCCATCGCCGCGGAGATCTTGACTTCGCGAGTGATCAAGCTTGAAGTGGGTGTGTTGTGCGTCATGTCGTCCCGCAGTTGTGGACGTGGCAAGTCCGTCGCCAACCTGGCAGTGGAAGCGGCTGCCCGGGAGAAACAGGGTCCCCACGTCAAGAACAAGAAAAGGAAGCTCGTCCATGGCGGCTCCTCACTTGCGAGGTATGTCGAGGATGAAGAGTGGGTGCCGGAGAGGGTGGCGTCGCCGGCGGAAAGCGACTTCGAGGAAGAGGAGGAAGCGTCGTTGAAGCGGAAGTCCTCGAGGCGGGGAAGTGGAGGCCTCCGGATCGAGGACGTTGGCGAAAGACGAGGCGGAGGAGGCCGCGCAATAATGGAAGACGTCATCGACGTCGACGCCGCGGCTGCATCCAGGCAGGGCGGGGGAACTGCCGTCACACAACAAAATCGCGCGCCCGTGCCACGTGTGAATGACGGCCCGACCGCGCAAGAGGGTATCGTCCCCGCACGAACACCAGCAACCCCGTGGGCGATGACGACTACAGACATTGGCGTGAACGCGCAAGCCATCGCTCAGGGGAACAAGAGTCGCTCTCCTGCGTTGGAGGTGCGCGGGGCCGCACTGGGGGGGGCTTCACATGCGGGGGAAGGGGCGAGGGCAGGCGGGGCCGCAGCGGGGGGGCCTGCG